AAAAAAAAGAAAAAAAAAAAAACCACGAAACCACATTTGGCAAAAAAAAAACAAAAAAAAAAAAAAAAAAAAAATCAACAGTTCTGTTCAAATTAAGAGGAATTGTAGGCACATGCAGGTGTAGTTCTTTTTTTTTTTATCTTGCAAAGGCTGAAGAAGAACATCTCCAGCATTCAAGCTTCAGACACCCCAATCTCAGCTCCTAAACAGCACTTTAAGGTTGTTTTTTTAAAATGAAAATTACTCACTGCACTGACTGGGCTTAAACAGCACACTCCAACAACAAAATATTTGCACAAAGAACAAAAGCAAATTCTTAAGGAAGCCCCGACACAGAACACATCTAATGTGCAGATTGAGATTATAGTGTGCATATGGGGCCAATCTCACCTTTTCAAATGTTGTTTTTTTTTCTTCTTCTTCTTCTTCTTAGAATTGTCTTAACACAGTAACACACTCCCTGACTGGTACTATGAGCATGGAGGAAAAAGCATGGTGTTTGGTTCCCACTCTCTTCCTCACACATGCAACAGCAATGCAGCATCTCGAGGTCTTTGGGTGGAGACGTAAGCAGGTGCCCTGTTAGGTGAATCGCTGCCTTCAGGGAGCCAGAGCGGCACAAAGTCACAAGCAAAGATCATCCGGACACGTCTGCAAGTCCTTGCCCTGCTGTGTGGTTAAATATTCTTGCAGCCCAGCTAATTTGCCTCCTCACAGTGTTGCAGCTCTTCTTTCATCTCTCGTCGCAGGCGGTCTCCGGTTCAGGATCTCCAGGGCTGTTGACGCCAACAGGCTGGCCGTCCTTGGACAAAGCGCTGGCCTCCTTCGATGCTCTTCTTTTGGAGTCGCGAGTACTTTGCTGTGAAAACAATTTTAAATATCACTTTGAACCACACTAGGCAGTCAGAAGACAAAGATGACCGGAGTGAATTAATCCTGTTGCAGTGAATTGGTTTTAATTGATTGAATATCCACCCTTCAAACTAATTGGTACTCTAGGTAAAGATGCGTAAAGAGCTTTAATATCTTGATGGAGCAGCATAGAAAAAATTATAAATTAGAACCCTATTGCTCTCCCATACTCCATTACTTTCACTTAGATTTTAAGCAAAATAATAAGTGCATACTTGGAAAGTGGAAGGAAAATAGCCATTTTTCCCCCACATTTTGCTAAATTTGAACATATATGACATGCACATGTATTTAGTCGCATTTTGCACCGATAATAAAATCCAGTGCACTCAATGGGCCTCATTTACTTGTATTACTGCTGCCCTATGCAAATCTCAGAGGTTAACGAGAGAACGATAGTGAACGAAAAACTTGCAGGAACCCTGAACTCTGCTTTTAATCCAAAAATCCAGTGAGAGGATGTCTGGTCATCAGTTTGAGACATTAGCTTTAAGCGGATTTGATGCTGTTTTGTGATGTTAAGCAGACAATTTATGCTTGAATGTAACTGAACTGAAACATGCCTGCAAAGGGAAGTGAGCCAAAAATTCATGCACAGAGAAGAGAAAGACCCACTGTCAATCGCAAATGCTTGGTGGCCAAGGGTGACGCACCTTGCTTTTTCACATAAGACCAGCTGGGGTTTAGACAGCTTTCCTACACTAACTGAAATTATTATTTGAAAACTGCACTTTAATTGACTCAGCACGTCTTTGCCAGAAATTAAAATTTGTTTGCTAATCTTAAACATTAATAAGGTGTGACAGAAAAGCAAACGCAGAAGAAATATGTAAGGGAGAAAAGTACTTTTTCACAGCACTGTCCGTCAGTCAAGGAGCGCCTTGGTCTCCTCTGGTGGTTGGAGCCATTGGTGGTGATGGCCTGCTTCCCACACTGGGTTCCTGTTGTCACCATCCTCTTCTCCTTCAGACCGGCCTCCACGGCTTTACCTTTAACAGAATAACAACAACAACAACAATGAATAAAACATACTGCCCTGTGTCTGCTGGGAATAGTTGTGATTTGCATTTTTGCACTCGAGTATAATTTCCCAGTCCACACGAAGTGGCTTTCAAGAGGCACTTGGCCTGCAAAGCGAGAGATCCGAGAATCCAACTTACTGTTCGGGACCGAGACGGGGGGTTCTACGTCCGTGTTCGTAAGCCATGTCGACTCTGTCTCTCTGGTCCAGCTCTCATGGTACCTCGGCTCGATTATCGCGTCCGCCCGACTCCCTCCACAACCCATCGAGAAAACCATCCACGGCAGGTGTAGCTGACGCTGACACGGATAAAAGCGGGGGTGTGCAAACACGGTTCGGTTCGTCTCACAGCAGCAGCAGCAGCATCCTTCACATCGGTTCAGTCCCTGTTTCTTCTTCCATCATCCTCATCAGATGCTGCTGCTGCTGGTTGATGTTTCTCTCCACAGGCTGTCAGCAGCTGACCAGCATCAACACACACACACACACACACACAGAGGTGTTGTGCGTCATCAGGAGAGGAGGGAGTTCACACTGCGCAGACTCAGAGCGCTGATTGGCTCAGCTCGAGATGCTGCGAGCATCATCACTACGACGAGCGTCGTCATTATCATCGTGCAAACAAATACTACTCGGAATCCAAATTATTTAGAGGCGTTGAGCAAAAATATTTGGTAAAGGTTCACGACAAGTTCATGAAGCTACCAGGCTTCCCTGTTTGCTGTTTTGTTCATTTATCGCTAATAAGCTTCGTACCGATATGTCATATTTATGGGGTAAACACATGTAAAATGTTTTAAATTCAATTACATTCATATTTTATCGCAAAAAGTGTGTTTGAATGTTGTTCATTCCAGCATTTAATTTTAGCGTAATTACTCAGTAGGGGGGTAAAAAAATCCCGTGTGAGAATGTTTTTTAAATCAAACCCCTGCTGACACACTTATTTACACCTTCAACAATTTCTATGAAATTTATATACTGCAAGCATTTTTTGTTATTTAGTTATTATTTAATATTTTACGGTGCCTGGATCTTATAACCATGAAGTGCAAATGTACAAAATGTTTTTTTTTTTCTTTTTTTGGTCACTCCTCAAAATGGGAAAGCTAAGAAAACATGCCATTTGGATAAGGCATGTTGTAATGGAAAATTTTAAAATGTGCTCCTCACCCCTTTTGTGTTTTAGATTGTGTCTGATGATGAGATCACGTGTCTGCATCATGAGATTGATCAAGCTGCTCTCCTGTGCCATATAACAGCAGGAGCTCCTTGATCCTGGAGACTATCTAAGTGTTACTTTCCCCCCTGCTATCTAGTGTTATCTGCCCCCTTTAGCATTAAAAGGGGCAGATAAGTCCCTTTGATGCTAATGGGACTTTAGCATTAACAATAGACAATCCTTAACAATTGTCTATTGTTGAAGAAAACAACCCCCTTTCCTTAACAGACAAATGGCAAGACCATCTGAGTTGGGCTCCACATAATCATGGTCCATAACAATCAGGGATTTACACCTATTGGCCAATCAAGTCTGTCTTCTCTGACCAGAACCTATAAAAGAAAGCCAGGTCCACTTGACAGACTCCTTTGCTTCTGTATTTCTGTTCTCACCTTGCAAGGTTTTTAATAAATTTCTTATTTTCTTCTCATCCAGACTCTAGCTAAAGTCATTTTTTACATGACAATGTTTGGTATTGATCTCAATAACTCAGTAAGTTCTACTAAGAAAAGATCCACTCACCTAAAGCTGAGTTAATTAAGAGAGTTAATTAAAAAGCTTTTTTTTAAAAAGGCAGGAAATGTGGCAAACCCAGTTGGACAAGAACTCAAGTTTGTATTGCAAGCAAGCACAGTCAGGAGGATGGTAAAAGAGTTAAACACCAAAGGGCTATTTCATAATTATTGCTGAGGCTGGACTGTATCCTGTCTGTGTAAAATCTTGCAGTACAGCACAATTCTTTCATTTTGCTTTTGTTGCAGGTTTTGTAAATACTTGACCCTCTTGGTCTCCTGTATTTTACCCATCTTTACCAGTAACAGTGCATCAGAAACGTGTACGGAGTGCACACAGTTTTTAGGATTAAGAGCAGCAAAACCATATTCACAGCAACCATAGTCACGAATGTATTATGAAATAAATCTTCAAAACGCACTGATCTCCCAAAGATCTGTTTGATTTTGGATTTAGCTTCATGGCCCAATTTACAACAGCTTATCGCTTATAAACCAAGCGTTTATTTTCCCATTTTTTATTCCAGAAACTGAAATTCAGTTAATCCCAATACATTTTGCAATGTTATTTGACGTCCAATCCTTTGTGATGGTTTTATTTACGTCGCAGCAGGTTTGTTTGCCTAACAGAGGACAATAAAAACTGTATATATTACATATTGAATTTATTTTCACATTAATTTTTGAACATGTGGTTTATTTTCCTTCATTCTAATAACACAGCGCCAGCACACTTACCAGTGTTGATATTCTTCAAGGAAATCATGAAGCAAACAATGCCCTTTTGTAAACTGATCAATTTAGTGTGTCACAGATCACATCAAGAGAAGGAATGCAGTGTTTTAATTGTACATATAAACAGGTAGTACCTATTTTTCATAAATAAACACAACACATTTGAAAAAAGCAAACAAAACACGGTTGCTTATACAGAGGCATAAATTATCACGGTGTTTAGCCGTACTCTCAGATCTCCTGCATGTTTATTTCTCCAATGAAAATGCACTTTTATTAAGGTAAACAGGGAATGTCACCAGTGCTCCTGAGAGTCACCTGAGAAACTGTGGGCATACGACGAGGAGCAAAGAGCAAACAACAAAAATCTGTAGAGTTGACCACTTTTGTGTTCTCACAAGAAAGTCATACTTGTTGTGTTGACTTAGAAATGCACAAGAAAACACATGAATGGAAACCAAAGAAGGGAAACAAGAGTGGGGTGAAAGAACAAAATAAATTAAAGCTTGCAAAGTAAGCATGTCACAACAATCAAAATGTTACAGCATATCAAGGTAATGGCCAGGTTTTCAGACTTTGAAATCCAGCAGATTGCAGTCGATCTTGTAGTAAACGTACGGGTAGTACTCCTGTTGGCTCAGATTCAGACCTGGGATGTCCATGGAAGCCTGGAGGCCAAAACCAAAGTTCAGCTCACAAGTCAAATTACACTTATATCTAGCTTACATAAAGTACTTTTAGTCAATGTATCAACACCTAATGTATCAATTAGTTGATGGGTGCATTAAAAAAAAAAAGATGGGCTCTATCGAAGTAATCGCAATCATTTCATCAGATAGTCCAGAGCTATGGCTGAAACTCACATCGATGACAGCAGCACTGCTGTCCAGGTGTTTGTACAGGTCATACAGCACCTCTCTAAGTTTCTTCATGTTCTTCTTGTTGGGCTGAAGCAGCATGGCCTGGAAGTTAACCGGCAACCCGTATCTACAAAAAAAAAAAACAAGCGTAGATGTAGGTCACCAAGTAAATGTGCCAAGTCATTTTTTTTAACATTTGAGTGCTAATATTAAAAATGAAATTACAGCAGTTATTCAGGTCTTTTTACATTTAAGCTGCATGTGCCATATGACATCAACAGGGAGAAACACTTCCACAAAAAAAAAAGTTTATTGGACAAGAAAATCAAAAGGTCCAGCCTTGATCAAAGTATGAGACTTTTATATACTCTATGGGAATGAAAAATAAAGTCTCAAAACCCAAGATCATTTTCACAGTCTTCTTTTTTTAATCTACTTATTCAGATCTAAAAAAAATAATAAAATAAAATAAAATAATACAATTCCATATTTCTCCAATATTTTTCAACGCAGATGCCATCATTCTTACTATTTGACATTATGTTCGACGCAACATGTTAACTACCTCTCACCTCAATACTGACTCAACAAACACACGCAGTGCTTTTATGTGAATCCACGCGATGAAGGCCTCACTGAAATTCACCTTCAGCCAACGCACCAAAGGACCCTAGATTGATAATAAATACATTTTAAAAAAAACACAGCTTTAACATTAAGAAAAGTCCCTTTACATGTATCAGACCGTTATGTCAGAAACAACTTAGAGTCGCTTCCAAAGTACACCAACATCCTGTACTTTGTCACGTTGTATGTGAATGAAAGGCAGTCTTACAAACTGTTTCTTCTTGTCTGTGGACAGGCGGGTCATCTCCTCTTTGTCTGCCTTCATCTCCTCCTCGTTGTACTGGAAGTCGCGCACTGTAAACCTGAGCCAGGACACACAGTAGAAAGATGGTAAGGAAAGTAAACAAGTGTGTAGGAGTCTGCTTGGCCATTAGCCACTAAAATAACAGAAAAAGAAATAATAATAATAATAATAATAATAATAATAATAAAACATATTTCAGTCGTCTAAACATGTTCTAAACATGTGACTGTTTAGAACGAACAGATTTACGATGGACATATGACCATGTTTCACTATAAAAAAAAAAAAAAAACCAAGTACAGCACAGGAGTTAGAATATATTCTTTTACAAAAGCTCTAAAAATCTTTATGAAGAAGTAACAGATGTAGAGAATTTTGTTGACGCCCAGGGCGTGCACAGATGCAACAAGCATACAGTTTTGTGCTGGTTTTTTTTTTTTGTTTTTGTTTTTTTTATGGTTTTGTGGCAAAAGTGGCTATTATTCACAGCCCAATACACAGACAATAAATGTGCAGGGAGAGGAGAGGAAAGACATGGAGCATTTTTTAAAAAGTTTTTTTTTAACAACTGCTTTTTAACAATATGCTGTTATTGGCCTACAAGACATTAATTGAGTCATCACGTGCGACATCCCTGGCTGGTTTGGTTTGGACTAAAGTCCAAATCTGCTGAAGACAGTGAATAAAATAACGGGAACCCAAAAGGCTCATATTTTATTCTTCCATCCATTGAGTCATTGTCTGTACCTGATTAAACCCTGGATTTTCTTTCTATAAGGCAACAGTTCTACCAACCTCAAATAAACATCTAATCAAATCAAGGATTGGACATCTCGATATTTATTACGGGACATTTAAAATAAGCAGGCGCCAACAAATGCGCCCATGTCTGTGTTTATCAGGCGGATCAGGAGAAGTTACTTGTTTTCTCTGGCTTTGTGTCTGAAGTCATCTACAGCCTTCCTGAAGAGCGTCACACTGAAAAGACCGCTGTCGTTGTCCTCAAACAGCTGCCTGTGAGAAAGAGAATAGAATACGTTCCAGTAAGAAAATTAAGAGCTTTTTTTTTTTTTTGCCATTTTACAGCAAGTAATCAAGTGAATACGTAATTGCATTAATGTTAGACTCAACTGCAAAGCATGTTATTCTTAGCGTGTGCCAACAATGTCTTATAATGACTGCTGGTGAACTTCCTTTACACACAACACTGACACAGAATCAATGTTTTCTCATCAAAACCATAAATCCTGAATGTGGCTCAGCGCTGTGGGCATTTTATGACGAGTGCTAATAATTTAGAGAGGAAAAATGGTCTGCGCTGACAAATGCAAACCAAGTATTACATGAGGTACAAAATGGCAAAAAAAAAATTGTGAAATGACCAGCACACTCAGTGACAGCAGCTGCAGCAGTGGCCAGCGAACAAAAGTGCTGCTGGTTAATTTGACTGGGACTCGAGCAGACCCAAATAAATAATAATAAAAAAAGCATGTTGTGTAAGTTGTGCTTCTGCAACACAGCAAATCTGCTTCACCACCTGCGTGCCGCTGCCAGTCTTGGCTAGGATTCTCTTGCAAAAGAGATTTTTAATTTCAATGGGATTTTTGAAATCCCATTGAAATATTAACCTCTATATTAAACAGAGGTTAATATAAAGAACAAAAAATAAATAAATGTCCTGTAATCTGTTGCCAACCAATACAAAAAGTGACTTGAACTTATTTGAATATTGCCAAAGGTTGAGAAAATGTCTGGAACCTTTTATTTGCTGCACTAAAATACGAGAAAACCAGTTCAGTAGAATTGATATACGTCAGTGACAAATATCAATTTTCTTTTATAATCAATTATATTGTAATTTAGCTTTTTTTTGTAATTTCTTTTTATATATTTGAATACTTTTATTTGGCTAGATACAGTTCATATTGTTCCGATTGTTTGAAGAAACTAAATTGCTTATTGTAAATGTTTATTTACAATAAATACAATAAAATCAAAGGGACGTACTTAGTGGAACGAGGTACGACCATTTCTGCCAGCGTCTCATACGTCTTCTGCCAGTCAAGGTAGTTCGTCCTGGGGGGAAGAAAGAAAATAAATAAAATAACATAATGTTGTTGTTTTAAAATAAAAAATAAATAAAAATTAAAAAAAAAAAAACAGAAACAACACCCTAATGCAACCTTCCCACATTAAAAATAATGGTTTATGGGAATAGAATTGTTAACAATGATATAAAAAATAAACTACACACCTTCACATTTTACAAAGTTGTAGCTACAGAAATTCAGCATATTGCTCTCATATTGATCACACAGATAATTTTGCAAATTATCCTACTTGGGGACGACCACCAGCATGGTAACCAGGTACTCTGAGTCCAGCACAAAGTCATCTTTCTTCACTATGTCAGCCAGACTCCTGGTCAACAAACTCCCTCTGGAAGAACACACAAAGTCACCTCACACTGCTAGCAGAAAGGCTATTGTTACGGTACGTTCTGCAGCTAAAGATCAGAACCATCTGAGCATTTTTGCTTGCAGTTTTTCAATATGTGCAAACTGATAGTGGAAACCCAACTTCAACATTACTCACGCGTTCTTCCTCTCCAGATTCTGCAGGTTTCCCTTCAGATTGTTGTAAGCTGAAGCTCTGGCCTTCAGGTCGTTGTCTATCTGAGTCACTTGCTAGAAGTCAATTATACTCTAATTTAGTGCACCAAAACTTTTTCTTCCAGGTACAATTCACAAAAAAACTTCAGTAGAAAGTAACTTAAAGAGGAGAAGGTTTACCTTAGAGACAATCTCAGAGATGTTTTTCAGTGATTGTTTGATTGGATATTTAGCCATGTCCCACTGAAATCTGGAGACATAGGTGACCAGGTCGACTGCAACCCATAGAAAAGTTGTCAGCTTTCAAATTTTTTTAACTTTCACTGTTTTTACTTGCAGCTTTTTAAATATATGAAGGAAAAGTGGTGATTTATTACTGTTTATTCACACTGCCCTGCAAAAGAAGTCAGATCACTTCAATCTATTCCCATTTTGTCGCAGATAAGCACTTTAGTTAATGATCCACGATTTTTAAAAAAAAATTCACAACTAAAAATCTGAAAAGTGTGGCTTGCATTTGTTCACAGAACATCTGGATTTACACTGAGAACAAATTACGCAGAGATAAACTTTATTTTCTAATTAGGTGACTTGGTACAAATTTTTGCCCTGAATTTTAAGAGTAAAAGAGGCTGAATACAGCACCTTTTAGATTTTTATCTGTTAAAATGCATTTGTCCTCTCACTTTTAGCTTTATAAAGTCTTAGCTTAAGGCTAAGTCTTAATAGTCTATCATTTTCCATAAAATGGATGTTTGTGGCCAAAATGTGAAAAGGTCTCAAGGCTATAAATACTTTTGCAGGTATGTAGATGATGTTTACCTCCGTTAGCTAGTAGGTTCTCCTGGACTTTGTCTTTGTTGTCCTCCAGAACATCACCCATGTACTGAGCAACTTTCTTCACCACACTGAACATGCCAATAAAACCAGCACATAAAAGAGGAGGAAATAAATGTAGGTTCTGAACTGAGATAAAAAATATATATAAGTTTCCTACTACACAACAAAACCATTCAAGCTCATAGTGGCGTGGTTTACCTTTCCACAAAAGTGTCTAGCTTTGCAAGCTCATCCGACAGGCCCACTAACACATCAAGAGTCCCAACCTGTTTGACGTAAACACTAAAATTCAACAAAGAAAAACGTAGAGAATTTACAAGGTGGGCTTACTGCGTTACCTTTAGGTCTGGGATGTTAAATTTGTGGTTGGTGGACAGGTTATTGATCCGTGTAGTGGCCACCATGAGCTTTTCCCATGTCTGCTGGCAGGTCTTCTCCCCCGGAGCGGAGATCAACCAGAATTCTGTCATGGCTGCTTTCAGGAAGTTTGTTCACCCAGCTACTGGTGTAGAGAAGTCACTGACGGTAGTATGCAGGGAAGAAGAAGAATTGTTAGTTTAGAAGTAGAGATCACTGATTAGGTTCACATGTGTAAGTCGGTTATTTGGTCTTCGGCACCAAAAATAATATAAAACAATCTTGGAAATTGGACAAATGTATGTTGATTTAAAACCAAACTTACAAATTATACATAGATGTCCTAACATTACAAAAATAAGAAAAGAAGACCTGTACCTGACAGTTGTTTTTCTTTCCCTCTATTTGGCCCTTTAGCTGTTCACACAGAGTCTGTCTCATCTTTAACTTTCTATGTCAAACCACTGTGTGTTCACTGTACTAAATCCAAGCCACAACTTGCTCAGGACTTGTTCATCAATAGATTGAAAACACTTCTCAGAGTTTATGGCACAAAACAAGAGTGTGTGAGTCTAAGATCAAACTAACCAGAGAATGCCAATATAGCGGGATTATCCAACGTGATAATGTTTTTATTTTCTATGACCATATTTTTATTCTCATTTTAAGAAAAAAGGAAAAGCTTTGCGTTGGCCGGGAATCGAACCCGGGTCAACTGCTTGGAAGGCAGCTATGCTAACCACTATACCACCAACGCTTACACATACTGAGTGAAACATCTGTCCAGAACAGAACTCAGCTGACTGATATTTCGTTTCCTTGTTTCTATTATATACTTCCTATATGCCTCTATGGCTACAAAGTGTCCTCAGAACCACATACTGCGGAAAAAGAACAGGTCTGGTGATTTATGGTCATATGATCAGTCTAAGCAGAGAAGCGTTACTAAACAGTGATCATCTGCTTAATTAAAGGAGATGAACATCACATGATCCACGGATCGCTCGTCTTCACGTTGCAGATAACTTTTAGTGCAAGAAAAAAAAATCTATAAAAAGCAGCTGAATAAACCTGCTTCATGTAATGATTGTTGCTGCTGCTGACACGAGCTTGTTTATCGCTGCAACCTCACGCCGTCACGACACTAATAAATAGAGGATTTCTGCACTTACCGATGAGCCTGACGGTCTCAACGCTATGGTCACAGAATTTAACTCAATGAAACAGACACAGCTTTCCATAAATGAAGCGGAAAATATAAGGTTTAACATTCACAGGTCCTTCAACTGGGCATCTCACTCACGGTCAGCTGATCAAGGAAGAAGTTCTGCGTTTGCGCAACCGCTCCCTGCACACTGCTGCCCTCCCGTGGTGGCAAAAAATAAAGCTTCTTTTGGATGATAATGTGCCTCTATCTATCTATCTATCTATCTATCTATCTATCTATCTATCTATCTATCTATCTATCTATCTATCTATCTATCTATCTGTCTATCTATCTATCTGTCTATCTGTCTATCTGTCTATCTGTCTGTCTGTCTGCCTGTCTTTAAAACAAGTTCAGCTTTTCTGAAACCTTGCCTTCTTGTGGTGAAATAAAGGTACTGTACTATGTACCTTATCGCCATTAGGGGGCAGTAGATGTCTAGAAATCAGTAGCTTTGTTTTCCAACGATGAGCAAAGCTATTTTGTAGAAACTCTTAAACAGTTATTTTCACATTTACTCTGTGTTTAAATGTTTACACTGGGGCTCTCGAATTTCTTGTGATATATATTTTTAATGGGCTTGAGTTTTTTCGTGAATACTTTGTTATGATGACGGAAAGAAAATAATGTGTCTTTGGTAAGGAGAACATAGTTATAAATAATAAACTGATTGCTGTGTTTTTTTTTTATTTAAAAACACTGAAATTGAATATCTGGATTTTTTTTTTCCATTTGGCGTTTGACTCATTTATGACTTTTGCAACATAATGTTGCATTAAATTTGTCATCAGACATTTTGCTATTTAGAATAAATCCTCTACAGCACAACATCTTATTTCATATCTCAGGCATTGAAAAAAGATGTCTTTGGATTTTTTTTTTTTTTTTAAGCATGGATGTGTGGAGGATGTGAAACTGATTATTTATGCTAATTTTGGTTTCTATCTGTCACTTCTGGCTCAAAATTAAATTTCCTTTCTTAGAACAGTGAATGCATTTTAATGAGACTCAGTGGAACCGAAGCACAAAATTGGATTTTCTCCCCCATCCTCGTGAATATAAAAGTACATTCTTTACTTTTCCTTTAAAAGTTGCAAAAACAAACTTTTGTCTGGCATAAGAATGTGCAAAATATTAAGTGCTTGAGAATTAAACAGATTTCCTGACAATCATTTTTACTCATTATTCTTGTCAGACTGTACAGAATGCCTCAAAGCATTGAGATTAAGTTTAAACAAGTATGGTAGATAAAAAACCTTTTGAAAAAATTCCTTATGGCTTTCCTCTTCACAATCTTTAGTGCCTATGTAAGTCAGAGTGTTTTTTGAGTTCATTGGAGTGCTATTTAAAAAAAAAAGATAAGGGTATTTGGGCCACCCCACACAGTTCCTCCATAGCACAAAAAACACAAGTCATATGACCGTGACAGATGCAGGCCAAACGTTTCTGCTTGTCTTAACGGTGTGTGGTCTACAGAATTTTATATAATACATCGTGCAGCATTAGAAACTCCTTACATCAATCTGGATTATCTAAAAAAGGTTCAGCTAACTGAACACGAACAAAAAGTGAGACAGGGCGGCAAAGAAAATATAAAGAGTTTATAGTTAAAAAATTTGACATATTTTAATCCCTCACATTCCATGATACACAAGTAGACAGACTTTAAACTGAAATGAGGTTTTAAAAACTTATAATCAGCAGCTGGATTTGCCTGATCCTACTGCAATAAGGGGACTTTTGGCTCACTGACTTTCTAAACTTTCCCACGAGCAAGTCTCAAACCTCATAAAAATAAATCACATGAAAATAAGTCCCTAGCTATATTTTGGTGGGTGCGGTGCAGAGCATTACTATTATTATTATTATTATTATTGTTGTTGTTGTTGTTACAGTATAGAAAGCTGTTTGCTCCTTTATGCACACAAACAAGCTCTAGCTTAACTGATAACATGCCTTTAGCTATTTAAAGGCAGTCTGAGCAGGTTTGCACTGTCAACCTCATTTTCATATATTAAATATTGCCTAACCCTCTTGCATTGTGACATCTGCCACATTCTTTCCTGCCTTAAAAGTCTTCGTAATCCTTAAACTTTTGCACATTTTGTCACGTAACAATCAGCGTAACTTATTGGATTTTAATTGAAGATTGAATGCTTCAAGTCAGTGCTTCCTTCGAATCTGCTGGGCTGTCTTAGATAGAAAATCTTTTAAACTAATTTGAATGATAAACTGAATTTTGCTGGGTTGTTTTGATAACTAGAATAAACTGGAATTTATGCATGATTGAAATTATTTGCTTCTTGTAATGTGTCTTGAGAGGATATTGTGAGCTGGCGCTATATAAATGAACTGAATTCACTTTTGCTGCAAATTCAATTTCATTATTTTATCGTAAGTCCTTAGCATATTTAAAGGTGAAAAGATTAAACTTTCCCCCAACCTTCTTTGTAAAACAGTATTTAACTGCTACCTCTGCATGTTGAGGCAATAAATGGAAAGTAGTTCTTAATCCTCTTACCTGGTTAAATTAAAAGAAAAAAAGAAAAACAACACCTAAAGCTCAATCAGATTGAATGGAGCTCTACGGTACTTTTTTTTTTAAGCCTATAGCCGAAGCTTCTGTTTCATTTGGATCTGAACTTTGACTACACCAATCTAATAGATGGCTGTAGTTCATCACCAGGACACAACTTGTATTTTGTTTTAACAGATAGACATGGTACCCACAGGCTTCTGGTAGTTATAAATTAACTGTAGTTCTCCCTACAGCTATCCTGAAATGTGATTCTTCTCCTGTCTCAAGTCGCGTTCAGTCTTAAAGAGGTTTTCTTCTGATTTTTATTTAGAAAAGATTTTGAAAACTATATTTTGTTCCTTTCACTTCATGATGCATTACTTTTTGTTTTTGGTATTTTTGGTCTTTCACAAAAAATGTAAAGAAATCTATTAAAGATTGTGGTTGAAATTTAATAAGTTTAACTGTTTTTTCAAGTCTTTGTTTATGGGAATACTTGATTTTACTAATACCCAGAATATGTATTCTTACACATCTACTATTCTATTCTCATTTAACAAATAAACATACCAAACATTTATTTTAAGTGCTATCTTGTTTACGCCCACTATTATTTTTGAAATTGAGAAACAACAAAATGAATAAAGGACATCAAGGATATCAGCTGTGAAACTGGTTTTTGTGGGGTAAATGCTTTCAAAAGTGGATGACACTTTAAGCTCTGATGTGAATTATCTACTATATTAAAGATTTGTCTTGTCATGCTTTCACAGCGTTTAAAAAACATTGACTTCTAGTTTCCAATTACATCTAAATTATGTAGGCTCTCCATAAAAGTTGGTGTTCTTCTACATATGGTTTATTGCGGCTAAGATGTGCAGCCATAGCAACCTATTATTGTCTTATTAAAAACAGAACAAGAGTAGTATTGAACTGGTTTATTGTGCGGCCATGTATGGAAAGTTTATGGTTATGTAACCTAAATGAACAAGCCGGGGATACTGCGGACCTTACAATATTCGGAAATACATATTTGGTATGCGCTCAAAAATACAGCGCGTTCATTGGTGAAACTGAAACGACTGGCGCCGCCCACTGGCCGTTGATTACCTTTTCTACTTCCCCCTGCTCTCTTCCAGTAGTTCTCCACCCACCAACCGACAGAGAGGACGTAGCGAGTCAACGCGGGTTTCCGACCTAAACATATGGCAAAAATAGCCTTCTTTCTTTCTTTCAACGTTGGGTCCACTACTCTTTAAAAATTCCGCCGAAAAAGAGAAGACGATTTTCCAAAACCTTTCGGCCGTTATCTCACGTAAGTACAGCGAAGCGTTCCCCGGCTGTTGCTCCAAGGAGGATTCGTTAAGCGGACGTTAACATGGCGGGCTGCTCTTTCTGCTGTCTTGCTACACATGATAGACCCGTTCACTGCGCTCTGTGATTTCGACATGTCTTACGTTTTAATTTGAACATGTAAATATCGCTTTAGCGAGTCAGGTTTAGTGTGTTTTTCGTGTAGTGGATTTGTGTTAAGGTTTGTTGTAGGATTATTATGAAAATACGGCGTTAACACAGCCATCTCCGGGCAGCCCCACTCTAACGATAGCGGCTTTTCTGCCTTGACTCTTTCCCCAGCGCGTTTATGTTTTCCCCGTCCGTATTGCCAAAATAACCACGTTTATTTGTGACATTTGTAACGGTACAGGTTTTCCGTGGTTTATTTTATCATCTTTGGTGACGCATTGAATTAATATTCAATTTGTCAAGTTGTCAGTCAGTGTTTTCACTTACGACGCATGCGCGAGATTTGGGGAGACGCATTAAATGCCCGACAAACCGGCCATGTTATCTTTTGTGGAAGTAAGATAAATACCAGTGTTTTTTATTAAGTAAACATAACCAAACTATTTAAATGGTTGCGGAATTAGTACCATCTCATATTGTATTGTTATTACTAGTGTTTAGTGTCTTTAAAGATGAGTTTCACCAACACATTACGCTAAAGAGGCCTAGATCTTATTTAAGCCGCATGACTGTTTCCTCCTCTGTGGTTCTGAAACTTTTTAAGTCTCGTCAACATTAGGGAGGAAAGGGTCACGTGTGGCTACAAATCCAGGCCTCCATTGGTTAATAAATTTGATTTCCATTGATGATTTTTGTGTGATTTTGTTGTCAGCACATTCAACTTTGTACAGAACAAAGTATTCAATGAGAATATTTCATTCATTCAGATCTAGGATCTAGGAGTGTTCCCTTTATTTTTTTGAGCAGTATATATATATATATATATATATATATATATATATATTTATTTTTTTTAAGTTGTGGATTAGTATTGATACTATTTGAGTCATGTTTGGAATTAGGACAGTGGCATAGTTTTAAAAGCTGAACATTTGGGTTAATTTATGTTTTCATTCAGACTGAAACCTATGAGAAATTGTGACCTAAATCCACACACAAAAAAACTTTCAAAAAATATACATATATTGCACTTGAATATAACTGCGGGATTTCAATTTAAGCTGCAGACAATATTGAATTGCAGTTGTCATCGCAATATCACAACCTCATTGGACTGCTTGGGCACTTTTTTAAAAAAAAAATTGTA